AATTAATTTCAAATATGCACAGTAACACAAGAAGCAATTTGCATAAGACGTCACATGGAGTTGCATACAATTTTGCATATTTAAACAAAATACAATAAAGCACAACTCGGGCAGGTATGTGAAATCATTTGTGCAGTGAACCATGCAGAGAGACGACGTACAATTACCACAGAAGAAGAAAACAAATGGCAGCAACCACCCAGGATGCAAAGCCAGCTCAGAAGTTGTGAAACACCAGCCTCTTCCTTCATCCACCATCCTGATAGATGAATTCACATTATCATATACATAAGCATGTGCTACTTTTCCACCAGGCCCTTCTGGTGCAGAGGATGGTGCTCACTGTATCATGCCACTGCTCACTCCTTCACATTTGCATCCTTGGCTTCATCTTTTCAAAACACTTTTCTCATGTGTCATTCCTTCTGGGCTTCCTAGTGCATTCATCTCCGAATCTGAGCGACTCCTTTCTCACCACGCACCACCCCAGGGTGGTGTTTCTTGCCCTTTACTGGTAAAGGCCAGAGGCCAAAATACTGGCTCTGGGGTGAGCCCAAGGTCAGGCACTGACAGCCCCATTTTTGATGGTCTCAGTCCTGTGCATGTTCAGAGTGCAATCCCGGTGGCGGTGGCTTAGTTCTCGGTGCCCCTGCAGATCGGATGATGTGGCCTCCATCTCAGCTCCTGGAAAATTATGACCAAAGAATTAACATTAGAAAAGGAAGCTGGCAAGAAAAGAGAACAACATCCCTCAACTGGGAATGCATCATCCTTCAGAGCGAACATCAGGAGGGCTAAGACCTTTAAGCCTGCAAAAGGGACTTTCACCCCCTGACCTACATCTTGTGACAATCCCGTATCTCTGACACATCGGCTGGGTGTGCACTGCGGCAGTAAGGCTGAGGGCTGAGCCATGAGCACGTACAATCACATCTGCTCCCCCTTCCCTCCCCAGGAGGCGGGCAGCGGGGGATCTGGTTGCTGCTCCTGATCCCAGATCAGGAGATCTGGGACGCGGGAATCAGGCTAAACAAAGGCTTCAGCACCAGCAGCACCCTGATAACCGGGAGCTTCCAGACCCCTGCTTCACCCATCTTGTCTTCATTTACCCAGCTCTTTTAAAGCCCCCGAGCTCCAAATTTCCATCCTGATCCTTTCCTCTGATCCTACTTCTCCTTCCTGCCCCAACTTTTAATTCTAGTCACAACTGCTGGTTCTACCCACTCTCTCCTCACCTTGCCTTTTCCTGTCCTCCCTCATGTTCCTGTTCCCTCATAACTCTCTTCTTCGAGGTCTGTGCTCAACAGCTTCAGCTCCTTCTTGGGAAATCTGTTTCTCTCCGCAGGACTGGCTGAGCATCAGCAAAGAACTGTCACCAAAACTTTGGAAGAGGCAGTGTTATGCTTAGTCACCATTTCATCCCAGCCCTCCTCTAACTTGCAGGTGCCAGGGGAAAATCTGTCTCTCTCTCATTTGCTGCACTGAGAATTACTGCACTGCGTGGTTAGCTACAAGTAAGCTGGCCAACGTGCGTAGCTATAAGAAACCCCCATTTAGCCAGGAATTTTTAATCTTCAATTTTGCCATGGAGGCCCTGATGCCTGGAATAAGAGAAATCTCTGTCACCTCCTGCTGCATATACAACCAACACAGGGTAACACTAAGCTGAGCCTTGGACCTCATTTGCGTGATGTCCACTCACATGCAATCTGTCATGCAAGAAAGGAACTGGCAAGTCAGAAAAAGGCATTGGAGAAAAATCATTTCAGGCTTAAATAACTCATCCTGGTGTCGCCGAATGGGTCTGAATCAATGTAATGAGACTGGGAGAAGCCTCCACTGTAGGTGTGTTTAACAATTGCACTCATGTTTTGGTTAATGAACACCTTCAACCAAAGCTGTGTGCATTCATAGCCTAGCCTGGATAGACTAATTCCCCTGACACTAGGAGAGGACACCCACCACTGACTGCCCCTTGGTTTAGGAAAGGATCAAAAAGCTCCTTTCTGTGTCCCTTTACCAAGGGTCGGATGGTACCTGGGGGAATCACTATGCCTGTCCAAACATCCTTCCTTAGTCAAACTAACTGGGAAACCAACCGTCTCTTCGGCCAGGCCAGACTGTGATGCAGATTTGACCAGTGCATACCGTAGACATCTCACTATGTTCCTCTGACATTCAGAAAATTAATCACCCCAGGCTTGTTTCCTTGCTTGTTTGTTGAACCCTCACAGTATGTCCAGCCATCGACAAAGTCTGGGCTTCAAACTAGACTGGCTGCCCTACAGCATCTGCTCTCCTGCCACTGGAGCTCTAACTAGGAGCCACAGAGATGCAGGACAGGTCCCTGGAGCAGAGACTGGCATTTGTTTTGCTGCCAGATCCCTTGTGGGGATTGATCTGAAGTTGAAGATGGTTTTGCTTGTATTCTGGTCACTCCTAGAGAAAGCTGGGCTTTGGATCAATGTGGAATGCGTCACTGAATGGTCTATTATTTACTGAGTGCATGTGCATTCGGAGACACAGCAGCCCTCAATAAAGACTCAGTTCTGCCTCCAAGGATCAAAGCAGGAATGAACCAAGGGAACTACTCAACTCCTTTACATGATGCTGAAATGAGTGGTTGCTTGTTTCAGGGTGATTCTTCATCGCAGTTTGAAGTTGTGCATTGCTCCTAATTAAATGGCCATCTACACAGCCACGTCCCTTTAGCAGAGTGCGGCAATACCTCTAACGTAAGCTGACCATCCCCTCTGCACCAAGGCTTGCTTACACTTGAGTTAGCACAGCTCGTCCAGGCTGCCATGCCCAGTCCACACCACAGCCCCAGGGAGCACAGTGATGCCCACAGCTCCACGAGTGCTTTCCCACCCCTACCCTTGTGCCCACAGTGTCAGGCTGGCTCTCTTGCAGGGCACGCTGCGAAGGCACATGAAGCGACGATAACCAACAGGACAGGCCCGGGGAGGAGGGCAGAGATGGAGCACATGGAGCCGTCACTTCCAGTCCCAACTCTGGAGAAGTTCCTTGAGCAGGGGAGGCAAGCAAGCACTCTAGCTCACTGCCAAATCCCTGCACTGACAGGCACTTCCAGCTGACAGTTGCTTGAGTTTTTTTACTTTTTTTTTTCATAATGGGATAATTTATTGCAGGTTGTAGAAGGCACTCAGCTGGAGGGAATCCCAGCTTTGGGATATGTTTTCATTATGTTTTTCTGAAGTACTCTCTTTCCCCAGAAATCACAGTGGTCAATAACATCTCATGCTTTTTTTTTGACCACTTGTTGGAGTGATTTCCACGTGTCTTCATGTGGTCATACAGTTTTTAGGTGTTCTTCTTGGGCTTAAATGATCACAGCCATTGCTCCCATCTCCCGTTGTTCAGTATGCAGCTCCCCATTCTAGCTCCCTGCTGGAGAACAGGATGCTGGGGAGATGCTGGGGAAGAAGGCAGGGCTGGGAGCAGACTGGAAGGGTGGGGAGCTACATGGGCAGGTGGGCAAGAGTGATGTAGTGGGGAGTGGTGATGGGAGGGGACTAGATGAGGGAGGGAGTTGGTGTTTCAGGAAGTCAGAAGGAAAAGGGGCAGCTTGTGGAGCTTCTCCTGTAAGGCAGAGAACGGGTGCCGGTGAAGAAAGGGAACGTTTGAACGCCTGCAGCCTCAGCCTGTGCCAAGGGGGCACTGGAGAAAAAGCATCTGATGACAGAGAAGTCAGCAGGAAGAGCTGAAGCTCTGGCTGGAAGCAGATGAGGGTTGTGCAAGACATTTCACTGCACCGATGAGTACGTGAGACTGTAATTTCAGCACAGTGAGCATCTTTCGCCTCCTCAGTCAAATCTCTCCAGCCTGCCCAGCCCCAGAGCCGCTGTGTGCGGTTGACTGGAGAGGATCAGCTGGAGGGACAGGTGACCAGCCACTTAAAGCAACAGGGGTGAGGAGCTCCATCCTCCTACGTTCGGCACAGGGGCAGAAGAGGTGCCATTCAGCCTCTCTTATGTGCATGCCCTGGGACAGCCACCACAGGCATGTGCCTGCTCTCCAGCGGACCTGGGTCCACCTCCAGCCCACAGAGATTCTGTCCGGGGCACAGGGTGCCATGGGGGAGGGATCTGACCCCACGGCAGGAGGTGGTCCTGAGTCCTTCCAGTGGGCAGAGACCCCAGGACAGAATTCGAGGTCAGGTCTGGTCTGGGGAGCCTGCTCCTTCCTCTGACAGTAAAGCAGTGGATCACGGACACCTCCAGTGCTCAAGGGACTGGGGCAGCAAGCGGGCAGAGAGAGCAGGGGCCAGGGACCATCCCCTGCACCCAGCAGTCCTCCTACCATTTCCAGGGAGCGGCCCTTCAGAGTAGCCACTGCGCCTGGTGCTGGTCTCCAGCACCCCCTCTGCGCCCCCACCCCAGCACCAATCACCGCCAGGGTTTGTGAAGTGGGGGAGTTGCAGGAGACAGGATGCTTAATTACAGAGCAGCCCTGGTAACCAGCAACGGCAGCGGCACTGTGGCCAGGAGGGGAGGCAGCAGGGCTGTAAATAGAAATTGCGGAGGCAGCCACGGGGAACAGAGTGAGGGAGGCTTCTGCGCCTGCATCGCTCCGTCTCCCTCCATTCCCTTCAGCTTCTCTCACACATCCCGGCCAGCCCAGCTCCCAGCACAAACCAGCGTGTGACTAACAGCCCCGAAGCATGGCTGGAAGGCAGCAGCTCCAGAGGCAGAAGAGCCGCTCTGGGTGGAGGAGTAGGTGTGCAAGGCCTCCTCCATCAGGGGCCACCTCCTGTGGAAAATGCATGAAGATGGTTAAAGGGCCTCTCTGGCCAGCAAGGAGACCAAGGCAAGATGGATGTGGGGCCAAATTGCCCCGACTACCCACCCGCACAGAAGAGACTGTAGGATGCCAGATGTCTGAGTCCCCGTCCCACTGGGATCTGTCCAGGGTGAAGTCCCTCTCATCCCACCCTGACATCTTCATTATGGCCTCTTCCACAGCAGCAAGAGCTCTGCTTTCAGTATTTTGCAAAGGTTTATTTAAAAATGTTGAAACTAACATCCCACAAGAATTGAATATTTCACGACAAGGAAAAGAGAAATCCTACAAAAATATATATCACAGCGCACAAGGGCAGGGGAGGGGGAAGAGCGAGACCGAGCAGGGAAGCAGGAGTGAGGACAGAGAGGAGGATGAGAGCTGCGGCAGAACAAGACTGTGTGGCAAAGGGAGAACAAGAAAGGAGTGGGGAGAGCAAAACAGCAGGAAGGGAGAGATAACCAAGAGGGAGACCATGGTACAGGACAGGAGTGGGGAGCGGGCAAACAGAGGGAGAGGGGAAACAATAGGAAAAAAGGAGTAGAGAGCCAGCAGTCAGTGAAGAAAGGGGGCCCCCTCTATGGTCTTGCCAAGGTAAGGCCAGGACTACAGTGAGGCGTCAGCAGGGGTGCAGTCGGGGAGCTGGAGTGTGGCCCAGGACTTCTGTGCTGCAGGACTCGGCTCTAAGGCAGTGCCATAGTTTAATTCAGAGTAGTCTGGGGGTGATCATGTTTGAGAACTTGTGGGGACTGAACAAACTGCTCCTTTCCAAGCATTTTTCCTTATTGGGAAAGTGAGTGGGGAATGAAAGGACCAGATTTGCAAGGGCACTTAGGTGCCATTGAGGAAGAGGTAGATAACCCTCTCTGAAGCCATGGGATGCTTGGCTGGACGCGAGTCTCTGTCAACTGGACCAGAGGAGCATTGTGGAAGCACACACTGGAGGTCTGCTCCCCTGCCTACTAGACACAACCGACCAGATGGGAAAGCCCAAGCAGGATTTGGCCCTGTGATCATGCCACCCTGCTGGGTAAACAGGGAGAGACTCCAGTTCCTGCCCTGAAGCAATACCGGGTGGAGGGAAGGGGTTCTCCCCCAGCCTTTCTCTCCTTCCCACTGTGCTCACAGAGACCGCCCTTGCGTTAACAAAGCCACCTCTCTCCAGGAGCTCAGTGCAGACACGGTGCCTTCAACTCACCCAACCCACCCAGGCATTTCCTTTTAATTGCACACAAACGTTGGGCAGGGTCAGCACAACTTTCAGTCGTTTTCCCCGCACGCCTTTCTCTCTGTAAAATTTCCACTGGAAAAAAATAATCCAGATCTTTCTCCTCCAGTTACCTAAAAGACAGGGAAACCTGATGGGCTGTAACTGAGAAGGTGCTGGCCGCTGCCCTGGCTTGGTGGTTGGTGCTGTCAACCCATCTGTGTGCACATCCCACAGAATATTAGACTGGGTCAGGGAAGAGACTGCAGGCATGCTCTGGCTCCAGTCTACATAGGGGAAGATAGTTTATAAGGCTCCAGCCGTAGAGAAAACAGACCCAGTGAGATCATCAACTGGAAGAAGCTCCTGTGTCCACACATGCTTTGAATGTTCTGTTCCAGGGACAAAATGTAGCAATGAAAATTTGGGCAGGGCAATGAAGTTGTTTCCCATATCTAACCTGTTTTGTGAGAGAGACTGAATGACTGTCATAAAAACATATTTGGCTAGAAAAAAATGGTCTTAGAAAAGATGTTCAGCATATCCAAGCTTCTGTCATTGTAAGAATTTCCTCTACTGCATTTCCCAGCTTCCCCCTTACCACAGCATCCGTGGAGGGCTTCATTCCCTGGAGTTACTTTTAACAAAAACAGAGTCACATTAAGGGGGGAAAAACAACCCAAAACACCGAAATCTGATTTGTTTGTAGAGTTTACAAAAGCCTGGCCAGCAGAGCACAGGGCTTCCCCACATCAGGTGTCGGAAAATGTTTTCACTGTGCCTCCTGCAGTGCCCTGCTACTTTCTTAAAGAACCTCTCCATGCAGCGTGTGGAAAGTCCAAGGACAGCTCTTGAAGTGGTAGAGTCTAAACTCTGGCCTTGTTTCAACAAGTGCTATTGATCAAAGAGCAATCTAATTAATCTGGTCTGAAAGATTACTTAAACCAGTTCAAGACATTATATTGTAAACTGCCAGCAATAAGCAGTGCAGGCTCGTGCAGACTGCACACAGATGTCCTTGCTCGGCACTGATGTGCCAGGGAGGGTGGGGAAGAGCCCTGAGCTGCTCTCAGCTCTCAGGGGCTGTGGTGAGTGGGGCAGCAGGTGGGAGCAGCCATCTGCCCCCTTCCCTGACCTGCCCATCCGCAGCTTGAACGTCCAACAAAGCTCTGAATGGAGCCTGAATGAGAACAGGCTCAGTAATAAATCGATCTAGGGTAAAGCAGTAATATCCCCTGCTATAAGCAGAGACTTAACCTGTACTAAGACTAGAGACCTCCAGAGTCCTTTCCCACCTACATCTTTCAGCCATTCTGTGCTTTTAATAAGCCAGTAATTTTATTTAACCTGTCATTTTCTCCAAATCTCTACTGTTTTTTGTGAAGCCTATTGCAATTTACACTCTCATTTGAATGTTCTTCACAGTGAGTCAGATGGGACCCAAGATCACCTAATAGTTCTGCTGGGTAAAGGGGCAGAACCAGTCCTCTTATGAAATTCCCTGTGCTTTGTCCTACAAAGAATAGGATTTTACTGCAGAGATAAAAGATGAAAGAGCAATTTCCTTTTTCTCCAACATGGCTTTTGTCAGAGACCTTGCATTAGCACCTTCAAATTGTGGGTGAGATTTCTGTCTCTGGCCACATCAGCCCAGCAGCTGATGGTGTTTGTACAGTATAAGGGCAACCTTACCTAAATCTGCATCATTTCAGCTCAGTGGCTGTCAATGGGGGATCTGTGAATTACTTTGAAGGTGTCCACAAAAGCCAAGGGAGAGAAACTATTGTCATTAAGCTGAAATTTGCCATTTCACACTTCCTCAAAGTGACATCCATGGGTCCACACATAGGAGGAGGTTAAAACGCACTGATCTTGCTCACACAAGTAGTCGACAATGTGGCTGCCTGCCATACAGACCACCACAGTACATGCTCAGGCAATCAGTTTGCACCAATACCCGTGCCATAGGTTTTGGCAATACACTTATGAAGGTTGGCACTGCAGATATCCCCTCTCTCATGCCCGTGGTGAGCGTTGCCTTGTGAGCCTCCAGTCACCTTGCATTCTAGGACAGACCTACCAGCAGTACATGGCAACCCTCCAAACGTTTCCAAGGTCAAGTCTAAATTGCTCTTTGCCATCCCAGGCACACAGAGTCATGTTGGCTGCTCGTTGCCTGTGGCATGAGTGTCTGAAAGCAATTCCCTACCTCAGCCCAGCAAAACTCAAGTTCCTTATGCCCAGTTATATCTGCATGCCATGCTTTAAATGTTTTGGCAGTAACCCAATGTACAACACACTTTTTAAGTAACATGATGGGCCGAGGGCTTTGCCTCAGATTTTCTGAAGAATACCACCGTGAGCTGATGTTCTTCAGAAAATCCTTGTCGAAGGAGACCAAAGGGGTGGAGTGGGACAGCAAGGAGGCTTCCAAGAGACCAAAACTTTTGAAAAGCTAAAAGGAGCCTTTTCGAACTGTAACTGGCAAGAGAAACGGCAGGGGGAGGAACTGAAAGAAAAAATTTGGAGAGAGAAAGATGAAGAAAGATACAAACTGAAGAGAAAAAAACCAGAGGAGTGTTAGGCAAAAAGAAAACGGAAAGATGTGAATATCTTCCATCTAGGGGGGAGGCAATGTTTCCTTCAAGGATATGGGTTGCTGAGGGGGCCCAGGTGCTATGTGAGCCTCTTCTGCCCAAGCTTCACCCACCCTTGGGACCCTCAGGAGGGCCAGAGCCTTGGGTACAGAAGAACCTGCCACCACCTGAGTCACGGCTCAGGGGAGACCGAGCCCCGGCGGGCAATCCTGCAGCCACTAAACTCCAGACGTTCACTTCAAAGCACACAACATGGGAAGGGACATACAGAGGGGTTAGGGCCCACAGGGACAGGGGTACGCCTTTCCACCTTGCCTACCCCCAGTGTCAGGCATGCACTGCTGAGAGTGTCACAGAGATCCAAGTGTGCGTGTGTGTGTGTGCGTGCGTGTGTGCTAGGAGAGGGACCGGGGAGGCCAAGCTTTCGCACCACCACCAGCTGTCTTCCCTCCCGCCATCCTGCTCTCTCATCACCCCGTCCTGCGTGAGGAGGCTAAGGAGGCCCAGCTCATCCATTTGCCCAGGCACATCCTGGTGGAGTTGGTTAATAATGGTGGTGGCGGGCCGTGGCACAAGGAGGTCGTTTTATCCCGGGGTAGCAGAGGTGGCAGGAGTCTGTGCTCGCCGGCTGTGACAGGAGGGTGGAGGGAGCCAGCTCTGCGTCTCCTGTGAGCATCACAGGTTCACCAGTGGGATTCTGGGGGGGAAAAGGAATTTGAAATTAATTAGCAACAGGCGCTTACATTGCCCCACTGCCCCCCAGTATCCGACTGACGCCTTTGCGCTGCTGCAACCTGCCTGTCCCCTTGTCCCCAGCCACCCGCTCCTGCCCCAGCCACTCACCGGTTCAGCTGGAAGGCCGTGCTCTTCCCGTGGCCCCCCAGTTTCTCCACACCCTCCTGGCCCTTCCCAGACTCGTCTGCCTCAGGCGTGGGGGCCAGGGAGTCACCGTAGGGCCCCAGGATGCTGACAGTGGTGGGAGAGAGGTCCGTGAGGGGCTGTTGGCTCTCCTGCTGCCTCCCACCGCTCTGCTGCCCTGAGTGACGCCGGCGTTTCTGATTACGGTCCCAGCTTTGGAGAGAAACAAGGGGTGAGATAAAGGATGTCCCCCCTCAGACAAGCCCCAGCCCTCGGTGACAGAGAGGTTTGTGGGAACCTGCTGTGCTCAGCGTTAGAGCCCAGCTCAGCTGTGTGCCAAAGCTCACGAGGGCTTGCAGCACCAGATCTGCACCCTTGGGAAAAAGGGGTCCCAGGGCCACAGTCCTCCCAGCCGCCCTCCCGCAGACACCAGCATGGCGACAGCCTCCGTTGGCCCAAAGCCCACTCACCAGAACTTGAATATGATCCCCGTGGCAACCAGGACAATGATGATTGAGATGGTGATGGTGACGTACAGCTGGGGGTCCACACCTGTGAGACAAAGGGGAGCCGGGGACGGGGAGGGGGTGTGTGTGTAATGGCCATGCCCACCGGTCCCAGCAGAGCAGCAGGACAAGGGGAGGTTCCTGCTGGGGCCCTTGTGAATTTTGCAGAAGGAGCTGCTCCTGCGGGGACAGGGGGCGAAAGGACCAAAGGGCAGATTTACCTTCTCCCCGGGGCCCAAACAAGAAGGGCCGCAGGGTGGCCGGGGTCTCGCGCAAGTTGAGCCCTGCGTTGTGCAGGAGCGAGTGGGAATTGGGCTGCGCCGTTGCCATCCCGTGTGGCGAGACAAAGGTGTATCCCAGCGGCGGGAAGCCCGGGTTGGCCGAGTTGGTGTCCCCTCCGTCCTCATCTGACACTGTGGGGCCCCAGACGATGGCCCAGGGGTACTGGGAGGAGGGCATGCCGTCCTCAAATCCGGAGGGGGTGGCAGGGCGGGCCCCCGCTGCCTGGCGCCTCAGCCGCACGACGTGCCGCAGCTCTCCCCCTCTGGGTGCCAGGGCCCGCTGGCGCGGCGGGGTGAAGCGAGAATCCCTCTCCGGCAGCGAGGTCCTGTCCCAGATGCAAATGGACCGCGGGGCCGAGGGGCTCCGACGGGTGCAAAGAGGCCGAGCAGCCCCTGGGCCCCGAGAGCGAAGAGACCAGACACCAGGAGGAGGGACAGCCGAGACCAGGAGGAGGAGATGCCAAAGCTGCAGGGAGTGGACACAGGAGAGGAGCGGAGGCATCCTGCTGCAGGGTGGGAGGGAGGAAGAAGAGAGCCTTATCTGAGACATCTTTCCTGCCGAAAGGCCAAGCCCTGAGCAGCCAGGAGCAGCCCACCACCCATGCTCCCCTTGTCTTCCCACAACGCTGACAAATGTGGGAAGCTGTTCACCTACCAGGCACTAGGCTCCATCTCAGGTGCAACCGCGTCTTTGCTCAGCGAGGATCCTGTCTCATCTTCTTCACTGGAAACCAAAAGGAAGAGTTGTCGGCGTCCCTTCATCCAGCAGCAACTGGTGTCTCCCCGGAGGCAGTGTGTGCCACTGCAGGTGAGCTCCTGGCCCTGGCAGGCAGGGCAACGGGGTGCCCCTGCACCCACACATGCACCCACCCCAGCTCTTGTGCCCCCCGTGCTTGCGCCCTCTCCTGCACAGAGGTGCATCGTGTCCCCCCCCCCACACCCCGACCCCAACACTGCACAGAAACACACGCATTAGCATATGCACACAAAAGCAAGGAACAATCTCAGGAGCACACGTGCAGAGGCACATGCGCAGCTTCCCCAGGGACTCTCCTGTCTGAGGGACGAGAAGGGGGATTCGGCATCTTTGTTTGCTTATCACTGGAACAAGTTGGAATCTTAACTCCTGTGTTTATTTATAGTGTAGAGCGTGTAATCCATTTATTAAAAAAGAGCCTCTTCATTGTGTGCCAGAGTGAGGGAGTGAGAGGGGAAGCATGAGAGTGATAAACGAAGAAGACTGAGAGAGTGAATCAGCGAGAAAAGTCCAGCCTTACTAAAGAATTTAAGAGCAAAAATATGCCTATCAAATATCTGGTAATTACTTTCCTCTTAGCTAATATGGAATTACCTTCCCACACTCCTTGTCCTAGTGTCCTCTGTGCTGTACTGTCCCTCCTTTTCTCCCCTATTCCCCCCCTTTCTCTCCCACCTCCCATGGCCAAGCAGCACTAGGCAGCAACGGCTGGTCCCCCCGGCTGGATTTCTACACCGGCTGCACACCACCCACTGGCATCAGTCCGGCAGTAGCACAGCTGCCCTTCATGCTGTCTGCCCCTTCCCTTGGCTGGGCACAGCACAGCGCCAGCCCTTCCTTGCTCAGATATTATGTGCCTGACCTGGGAACCTCTCTGCAACAAAGACCCCGCACACACACACACACACACACATGCATACAAAAAAAAAAAAAAAAAGAAATCATTCAAGATATTCAGCTCGCTCCTTCGTTGTGAAGAGGAAAACATGAATGCCAACAACCCATGGTCATGCCCTTCTGTGGCTGCTGGGGTGGAGGAACAGGGTTGTTTGGCTGAGGAAGTCAACGCAGAAGCCAACCCTGCACCTCATCCCCCAGCCAGCTGTGTTGCACCTCCTGGCTTCCAAGGGGTTACTGCCCTCCCCTCCTGCTCAGTCCATGCCCTGAACCAAAACTGCAGCCCCTCCTGAATGGGAGGCTTCCTCTTGCTGAGGGAAGATCCTGGTGCTTGCTGCAGTAAGGGGACTCATGCCCCGCAATGTATACCTGAGGAGAGGGTCTGGGAGGAAGGGCATCCAAGAGTGAGTAGCTGTCTAGCTCCTGCTGCATGAACTGGGGATATTTTTAGTTTCCTTCTGTTAAATATTTAAACAAAGTTAACAGAAAAAGAAAAAAAAAACCAACAAAAAAAAAAAAAAAACAACAAAAAACCCCTAATTGTTGGCTAGTGCCCTGCCCTTCCCTCTGGGGTAAGATCAGTCTCTGGAGGGATCCTGAGATGAAGACAAGGAGAAAAGAGCAGCTATTCTCAGCATTTCTTTGTACTTTGCTTCTGAACCTCTAAGTCTTGGAGGAGACTCAGTATTAAAATGCGGTTCTGCAGAGAGGCAACAAAACGGAACAAGTTTCTTCCGAAGCTAGAGGCTGGCAAGATCTTGGCCATCTGGATTATGATCACGATGCTGTGGAAGATCATGTCTGGCAACACAAATCCGTGACAGAATTTCCTTTGGACTTTGGAAAGGGAGGGAATTCCAAGCATCAGGGCCCTCCTTGTGTGATTCTTGGTGCACACAAACTGCCGGAAGGGTTTCAGCCTGGCCTGGAGTGCCCGGGGCCATGCCTGGGACTCACCATGGGACAGTATTTCCCTAGGGTGCTGCTTGTGGCACAGCATTCTCAGTTACAGCTCTGGTCTTCAGGGGCTGAAGGCTGTTCTGCATCAGCCAGCAGCAGATGTGGATCTGGACAGTGCCGCTCCAGGAGTGGGGATCTCCGGGTGCAGGTAGACCTCGGTGCCAGTCCCCCAGGGGAGTATGGTACATTAGGGGTGCATTTGTAACTGCTAACACTCCTCCTTGGCTCTACTGGCAGAAACGTGCCTGGGTGTAGGTATAGGTGCAGTGTGCTGGGTCACCCAGCTCACGAAGCTCTTCTCATTTGTTGGGCTGTCTTATAATGGAGGCCTTGCTGTACTTCTCAGTGATTGTGAGCACCAGCGACAGCACCCCAGACCATGGATTCCCAGGGTCTAAATCCTGAGAATAAGAAACCCTACAGAGCCACATCCTGAATTGCTTTCACACCTGGTAGTCTGAATTTCAGCCCTACAGAGCAGGTAACGGCTGTAACTGGAGCTGAGGGGAAGGAATGACCCCCAGCCCTTGTGAACACATAATGCTGTGGAAGCGACAGCCCAGACATCAGGTGTAAGCCTGAGACACTACTGTGCACAGGTCCTGCTGTCAACGGTGAAGAGCAGATGACTCCTGGTGCCCCTACCCCAAAGACGTCTCCAGGTGAGCGCAGGAATGAGGCAATGTCAGTCGGTCTCAGTCAACGCGTTCTGGTTTACTGATCATACAGTGGCTGGAGACTGAGTGTGTCCTGCACTGGCCCACCCAGGCATGGTTGTGGAGGAGTTGGGAGAAGCAGAGAGGTGTCTTCCATAGCATGAATGCCATGAGAGCAAAGGAAGGGGTCAGGTGGAAATGCCAGCCGGTGAGGGTTGGACTCCACTGTGCATAGAGCGTTACATGTTCAAAACAGAGCATGGATGTCCCTGTGGCTTATTGATAAAGCAGCAGATAAAGTCTGTCTGGGGCACTCTGCAGTTAGCCACTGGCAGTGGGGATTGTGTCCTGGGCACAGACCCTCCTGTGTTGGAGGGCAAGTGTAACAAATGCCCTTCATTCAGCTCTGTATGCAGCTCCCAGTGTGGAACACACTGGTAGATCTTCAGAGAGGAGGAGAGGACGCCCATGCTCCTACTACCTGGACATAAAAATTTGAGTATCCGCATACCTTACACCGTTTAAGAGGCCTTTGTGTGCCAGAGCAGAGAGACTGGATTTCTGCACCAGCACCACATGGCATAGCGCTTGCTTTCAGATCTGTTTCCAAGGTCTAATTGTGATAAAACCAGACAGGGCTACTCCCAGGGTCCAAAGATGGACCTGTGTATTTTCACTTTAGCCTTTATCGCAATGTTCTAATCCCGTGATGCACAGATGACAGAGTGTGAATGACAAAGCTATTTCCCATGGGCACTTGACTGAGATCAGTTTGTGAATCTTGGTGCTTGAAAGCTGGGAGTAAGAATTCCGCTGCTCTTTGCTACTGCGTATGGACCCCACTGCTGGTTCCGACCAGAGACCCCTGGGGCTAATCTATTAGGAGCTGCTCTCATTGAGCATGCAGGATGGAAGCACAAATCCTGCTGCTGTTCCCCAGTGTCAGGCACCCAGCTGTGCTCCCTCCCTCTTCATAAGTCTCCCGCAGCATGGACCCACCGCTGCTGGGACGTGAGAGAGCCGATCTCACATGGCCATGCCCCAAAGTATGTATCTTGATTCAACAAGGGGGCTGGGAATTTACATCCTAATTAATGGCCAGGAGGAAAGCCTACTGCACTTCTGCTCTAAGCAGGGAGTACAGACTACATCCTGAGTTCCAGAGTTCAGATGCTACTGTGCCCCGGGAAAGCCCTAGGATTCGCTGCCGATAACTCCTTCTCTGTGTCTGGGACTCTTGTATACCGTGGTCCCAAAGATAAATCCTATCCAAATATAAAAGCCATCACAGCAATAAAAGAGCCAAGGTGACAGCCGTGTGCAAGCAATACCTGTGCTGTAGCTCCCTCACATCAAATGCAACCTGTAACCTTCTGTTACAAAATGCTGAAGTTTGACAAATTCAAATGAGGAACAATACTATTAATAAAGGGGGCCACACACTAGAACGATTCACCCAGACGTGTGGTGTATTCCCTACTGCTTGGAGCCTTTGTGTAGACATATTTCTAAAAGAGATGCTACAGTTCAATCAGAAGTTATGGGCTTGGCGCAGGAAATGAAATTGGGTGAAATTCAGAGCCTGTGCTCTGCTGTAGGTCAGACTCGATGATCAAAATGGTCCCTCTGGCCTTAAAATCTGAGAATCTCACAGCTTTCTTGATGCCTAGCTCTGACTGGACAGCAATTGGATGAAGCTGAGCACACATAAGCCGTGTTAGTGAGAAGTGGGTAGAGTCTCCTTCCATCCGGGGATGGGAAAAGAGTTGCACCCGATTCTGTCTGGCTCGGCTGGCAGATGATGATCTATCTGTATTTTTGTAACATCTCGAGCTTGACTGCTGTGATACTGTGCCTCTAGGAATGAAGCCGTCTGCTCTCAGAGCGCTCCAGCTAGTTCAGAATGCAGCAGTCTGTTTGCTCAGCGACTCAAGCTGCCGGGAATGCATCACCGTGCCCCTCTGCACCCCACATCAGCTCGCCTTTGAGCACAGAGTCCGGTTCAAGGTCTCCAAGCCAGCATTCAAAGCCCAGCATGGGACAGGCCCCAGTGACCTAAGCAATCAATCACCTCTCCTTATGCAGTGATGACCTCACATGACGGATATATTCCACTGGAACAATGAAATTGCCAAACAGTTTGGGGAGAGGGGGAAGGAATGGAAAAAGGGGAAAGAGGCTCATGACCCTGAGGAACAGAATATTCACAGAAGCTGGGCCAAGATTACGAAACTTACTGCCAGCTGAAATAACGCTCGCCATTAGCAACCCCGCAGCACCGAAAGCTTCATGAAAAGCCTTTCTTCGCCCAGCTCCCCCATGGCAATGATCCCACTCAAAATAGTGATAAAAAAAAAATCAAAACAAACCTGATGAGGACCCAGCCCTCCTCGCAGAGAAAGAACGCTAGGTTGGCTGTCATTTTTTAACTCCCAGCCAGCATTAAGGACTATGGTGACAGCTTACTGATACGAGACTGTGATCTGGGACTGTGGCTAGCAGCTATCTCCAAGCATTGAGCAGAGCGAGTTTAGGCAGCAAGACACACACACACACACACACACACACTGTCTGGTGCCTCAGGCACCCCGTGCCTGTATTTTTCTCAGTGGCCATGAACATCCAGAGTTCATGGTCCAAGAGGCAGAGATGCAGTCATTACTGGTTTGGTAGCAGGTCGCATGAACCCTGCTGCTGGTGAAAAGGAGTTATATATATGTCCTGCTGTATTTGGCTGGGTGGGGATGGGGAAAGGGAGGAACCCCACAGCAGCTGCCCCGGGGAGGTAATTCTGCTACACTCAGAGGAGTTTTGACAGCTAGGAGAGTGAATCCGAATGCTGGTACCCTGGGGTGGGAGATGCCAAGCCCATCTGGGGAAGGAGTTCCTGCTGTGCACGGGGCCGGGGGCAACAGCTCGCAGAGCAGGCTGAATTTGGGGGCTGGCAGGCTGGATGCAGTGGCTCACATCAGGCTGCTGATACCCGGTATCTGAGGCTGAGGAGGGTTGCTGGCAGTCCCCAGGAGGATCTGGCAGGACTGCGGAGGGGCTGAGAGCACTCACCCCGTGTCAGTGCGGGTCCTGCAGCATTCAACGTCTGCCAGAGGGAATTCCTGTGCCAGGGTACCAGGGCGAGCACTTATGGGCTGGGTATGGAAATCCTAGGCTGGGGCAGAGGCCAGGGCTCGAAGGGTGATGGGGCGTTTGGATACTTCGGTAGCTGGGGAATGGTCCTCTGAGCTGAAGTCTCCCTGCATTTGGGAACTGTGAGTGTGGCCCCATTCCAAGCAGCACTCTAGGATGCCGGTCCCCTGCCATCTAGTGCCTGCCTGCAATACATGTTATGAGTCTGCCAATCTTCTGCCTCTCAGTTTCCTACTGTTCCCGGGCATCCGAGTGCTTCAGGTGCTGAGTCTCCACATCTGAATTGCTCTCTCTTGCATGGTGCACCCTTGGCCAGGCAGGAGGAGGGACTGACCCCTCTGTTTCCATTCTCCAGCTGCACCAATTTGGCTGAAGTCGCCTTCCTCAGTGCAGGCTCCACTGCTCCAGCACAACAGGTCTGTGATGGAGCCCAGAGCTGGAGGGCAAGAGGCGACGATGCATTGGCTTTGCTTCCCTCCCTCCCAGCCCCTTGGGCATCCCCTGCCCCAGACGGAAAGAGGAGAAGAAGGTTGGGGGGGGGGGGGGGGGAGAAGGAGGCAGCCGGCTAGAAGGAGACAGAACACCTAGATAGGGAGAGGGGAAAGAAATAGTGGAGAAAGGACACGGGGAAGGAGACAGGGAGAGATGACTTGGAGACGGGCACGCATCCCTCCCTGCCCCTCGCCCCTGCAGCCTCATCCCCACCCCGTCCCCCAAGCCCGGGCTGAGAGGATGAACTTACCTTGCGGGGAGACGAGTGGGGCGCAGCCGGGGTGGCGGAGCAGGGGGCTGGGGGAGCACGGCTGCTGCTGCCGGTGCCTCTCATGGCCAGGACGAAGGAAGGAGAGGAGGAGGAGGAAGGTTTGATGAGGCTGAGCCCTGGCTGAGGGAGAGGGAGCGAGAGATGCCTTGAAATAAACAGCTGCCGAGGACTGGTCCAGCCCCTCTTTCTCTCTCTCTGTCTCTGTCTCTCTCGCTCGCTGCCTCCCGTTAACCCCATGGCTGCTGGCACGGGCTCGTCCGGCACCGTCGCCCCCGCTGCAGCCCGAGGGGCGCGCCGGGGGGAACCGGGCGGGGACAGCGGCCGGGCGGGGGTAACCGCGTCCCCCCCGGCCCGGGAGCCCCCCTGCCCCGGCGGCCGGGTGCGAAGGCTCCTCCCGCTCCCTGCCCGCCCGCGCTGCGCTCCCGCAGCCCCGCGCCCGCCGGACCTGCCCCCCCCCGCCGCCTCCCCGCCGCCGCTGCCCGCTCCGCTCCGCTCCGCTCCCCCGTCTCGTCGGTTATTTCGGGATCTTCACAGGAAGCGATTAGGTTGCCATGGAGAGAGGTGTCTCCAAGGGACCCGTCGCTCCAGCTCGCTCCGGCGATATGCCACCCCCGAACGGGTCCGTCCTTGGGGGCGGAGGCCCCCCCCCAGGATCCCCCTCCCCCGGGCCGCCTCCCCCCCCCCCCCCCCCGGGCTCACCCCCGCCGCCGCTGCCCCCCGCCTCTCCGCCCCGCCGAAGTCCCCTCGGTGAGATGCCACCCCCCGGCCGCCCCTCGCCGCCGCGCCGGTTCCGCCCCCCCCCGTCCCCGCATCCCCGCATCCATCATCCTCGGGCTTCGGGCCCCCTGCGCGCCGCGGTACCGGGGCGGGGGGCGGCCGGGCGGGTGCCCCCCGGAGGGGCTCAGGGGCGGGCGGGCGGCGGGGTCCGGTCGAGCTTCACGGGCAGAGCCGAGCCGCCCCCACGCGTGGGCCGGGTGGGACACACGGGTGCTGGGGGAGCAATGGGGGGGGTGGGGGGGTGTCCGTCCAAGGTGGATTTCCCCGTTGAGGGATCAGCCAGGTCGTCTGAATATGTCCCCAAGCGCAATTTTGCCAGGGGATCGATCATGTGCATCTGGAAGTGGTAGGGATGTGACAGTCAGATTAAAGAAAGAAGCTGATGTGCCTTTGAGGGGCCAGGTGTTTTACACGGAAAATCTCCCTCCGTCATCAAGTACTAAACAGAAAGCACAGTCCAAATCAGAAGGGAGCAGCTGAGCAACCAACGGGCAAGGGAAGAAAGTCAATGGCAGAAAGACTGTTTCCACTCCAGGGTCTGAAATATGAGGAAGCAAGAAAGTAATTTCCTCAGATCCTCAGAGACAATCAAACTTTTCATCATGAAGTGATGAGGAAAGACTGTGACTACGACTGACCCCGGGAAAAAACAGAAAGAAATAGCAGAGACAGCACTGAGCTGTAAAGCAACCTGCCACTGCACCAGGAATGGACACAGAAGACAAATGTACACGCGGTACCAAATTTGAGCAGAGCAGGATGCCTGGAACAGGTCATGCCAACTTCGGACAGACATCTGAGGGAGATGAGTCCGTTGTTCTTCATCAGGCCTTTCATGAGCCCCTCACTAATGAACCAGGCTGATCTGAGCTTTCCCACGTTGGGACGTTTTAAGTCTTGCGTGTGTCTTTGTGAGCGTGTTTGGGAGAGTCAAAGGTTTTTCACGTGTCTGGGCGTAATGTCGGTGTGTGTTTGGGCATATCGCCACGGGGATGCAGCTGTGTTAAGGCTTACTGTCACTGGGAGGTTGGGTCGTGGGAGGACGGCACTGCCGGGGGAGATGTCACAGTCTGGGTTTGTGTGAGACACAGCGGCATTGCGCGCCCACAGGTGTGCACATGTCTGAGCCCCCCAGCTTTCGTCCCGCTTATGTACTCAGGGCTTTATGTCAGAGAATATCCAGGCTTCTGTTGCATTCGCCAGCCTTTTCGTCTCTATCCCTCCCAAGGCTTGCACAAATGATCTGTGCAAAGATTCCTCAGCGAGCCCTCACACGCCCACTCCAGGAAACCACCTGTACAGATGTGTCCAGGGACATGGTGGTGCAAGCACGAGCCGGTGTTCGGCTCATCTTGCTCTCTGTGCTTCCTCCCTCCTGCCTCCACACTTGGGGGTAGCAGAGGGTATAAAGCTCTGGAAGGGGCTACATCAGCCACATAGGCTCTTTCTGACCTTTTCAAATCCTGATGAATGTGTTTAGTATAATTGGGAAGCAGACAACAGATGAGAAATTTCAACCAGGGAAAGGTCAGTTAAAGGGTGAAAATCCAAATGACGCAAACACTGAAAATCCCCCTGAAGAGCAAAACTACAGAGGGAAGCAAAAAGAGCCAGAGATGGGAGAGAGAACAAGGAGGAGGGTGTTGTAGGGACCAAGGAAACTCTAGAAGATGTAGGGGGGAGTCATGAAAGCCACCGAGATGATGGGAACAGTGAGCGCAAGGGCTGATGTCACTCTTACATCACTCTTACATGATATATAGGGAATGGCTGGTTTGGTTTGGAGCACAGGTTTAGACAAGCAGAGTGGCAACTGGAGGTACTCTGGATGGGGTGGGCTCAAAGGTGAGCTAATGTGAAATTATAGGGAAATTTGAAGGGAGAGATGGAATCAGGTGGGCTGATGGAGGAGCAGTTGGGTAGCTGTGGAAAGAGGGCACAAGAGTGATGCTAAGTTTAAAGTATTACTCTGAAGGTGTTAAAGTGAGGGTGATGTGGTGATGGAAGGGAAGGTGGAAACGTAAAAATTACTTCTGTTTGGCCAGGATTTGGACCAGGGTCAGCATATGTCACGTGAGGACAATGAAGTACCTCACTGTCCAGCCACACCTGGGAAGCATATGAGGCTGTTATTTCTATCTGGCAGAGTCACTTTTAAATCATCTCATACAGATCTTTTACACCCAGGAGTCCTGAGGCCAAGTGACCCACTGCTGCTATTTTTAATGTTGTTTCCTAAGGGCTGAGAGACCCGTGTTGTTGCCCTGCTATCTGCAGAACTTTGTCTGTCCATCTGTCTGTTAGTTGCCATGGGTTTGATGAAACAACCAGAGTCTAAAAGGTAAATAAGCTCCAATAAGTTGTATGAAAACTGGCAGCCTGACAGAGGAGAGAGACGCTATCAGTGTCTGTGCTGGAAGAGAGCCCACAGCCATGCTGCTGGGCAAAACACCACAGGTCGGAGCAGTCCAGCCAGCAGGCCAAAAGAATTAAGCAGAAAATACTGGGAAAGCTGTGTATGTTAGAGAGTGGTGGAGGAGGAGCCCGGCGACATAGGCTGTAGACCAAGGGGAAAGGACTCGCAGATGTGGCAGACCGTGGAAAGAGTGTCATCAAGGTACCCCAGTTGAAGGCACGGTAGTGGGAAGTCTAGGACATACAAGAAACAAATCCACAGAGAACCCAATTTCCTCAGCCCTGTTGCTCACCGAACAACTGGTTAATAAGCTCTGGAATATCAGAGACATCCCAGAAGACTGGAAGAGAGCTATGCCCTGCCAGTATTTGTAAAGAGCAAACAGAAAACCTGAAAGTTTCTAGGCAAAGCAACAAAGAGCTGATATAAGATTCTCCAGTTAATGCCAATCAGCCTGATTTGGAGGAAACTGATCTTGCTGCGTAAACTTGTTTTGTTCTTGTCAGTCTTCGACGTGACTACAAGTTTGTTTGGAAAAGGTGATGCCTTAGATCTATCCAGGCTTCTGAAAGCATTAATATCCCAAAGCATGCTGATGAGAAAAAAATATGCAATATTAACAGAGCAGGTGGTAAAGTAAGCTGGTTAACTCCATTTAATGACCTGCAAATGAGAAGAAGGTCATCCCTGGAAGCCCACTGTAGAGTGGCAGTATTTCTTATGTGGATGCCCAGGAACGAGTCCTGGGTCAGGTATGACTCACCATTTTATTCAGTACTTGGTGAGCAGATATAGCTCGTTCTGACACAATTTACTGAGGACACAAATACTGTTAGAGTGTTAAAAATAATGAGGATGGGACCAGCACAGAGTGACCTACCGCACTTGATAAGGTGGTCATTCTCATAAAACTCCTTATAAGATAGTAAAGAGCAAATTGTACAGACATGAGCAGGAAAAAAACGTCTGGATCTACAGAGAACAACTTCCAGTCCCAAAAAAAGAGGTGATCTGAAAAGGATTTAGCGATTGTAAGGAGCAGAAAACCCAACACAACGGCCAGTGGGCCAGGCTGCAGCAATGGATCTGAAGTGATCCCTGGCTGTGCAAAGATGGAAGTAAGGAAGGGAAGTGAGGAGATGGTTAAGCCTCTCTCTGTGTCTGGGTAAGTCCCATGCTGGAAAACTGTATGCTGCTTCATGCTCCATATTTTAAAAATAGCTTTGAATCAAAGGAGATCCAAAGGCTGGAGATCTCAGTAATTTAAAGAGGTCAACCTGTTTAATGTATCAAAAAGCAGAACAAGACATGACTTGCTTGCAGTATCACTTCCTTCTTGGGGAAAAGTCTACCAGGTATTCTGGCAGAGAATAATAAGAACCAGTCACTGGAGAGTGATTAATCACAGAAACAAACTACCAAGTGATGCACAAGATCTGGAAGACAGTTCCTGGTCTGCAAAATTCTGAGGGCTGGGAGAGCAGATTGGAGGAAGAGTCACCGTGCAGTTACCCTTTTTTTAAACTCCTCTGTAAGCAGCTGATATTGGGCTGCCTTTAAGTGTAACTAGGTACAGGTCTTAGGACCCTGTGTGCATTAGCCCAGTACAAGTGATAGAGTTAAAAGCCTTCTCGATCATGTTGGTATCCAAGCGATTCACCCCAGCCTCCTTTGCCCTTACAGTGTTTTTGTCTCGGAGTCTATGTTACACACAGTTGTGAAAAATTGTCTCAGAAGATGTGATGATAGCTACATTTGGAGAAGGACTGGGGGAAAAAATATCGTAAGTGTTTTGACAAGTTATTTGGATTCTGCAGTGGTGAAGAGAGAAACAACCTAGAATGAGACAGTACAGCTCTACGGGCTTTAAAGTGGGACAGAGAGCGCATAGAAAAAAGAAGGTGGATCTACAGCACAAAGAGAATGGAGGTTTCTTTCTGGAAAGATAAGAGCAAGATCAGAAGAGAGAGATGATGCTAGGGATGGTTACAGCGAGGGTTAGACATCCCAAACATTCAGAAATAACAATGCGGAACCTCCCTGTGTCATGAGATTTATTTTAAAATTATGAAATGTTGTAAAGACTTGCCTTCATCTGCACTCTTCACCTCCTACTTTCGACTCCAGCTTACATGAAAATCACATTTCACAGTTTCCCTGTGACCATAGAGATAGGTGTTTGCTTTGTGAACAAAGTGAAAGCAT